GACTGATGCACTGCAAAAGGCAGCTGTCACTCTGAGCTCTTCTTAGAATCCTAGCAGTACTTCCTTTGAACTTTCATGGTCTCACAAAATGATGACAAAATAATCATGATGTATCAAATACAGAAGAACAACAAATGAGGCAGCTAGGATTAAAAGACTAAAGCCTGTCCACTGGTTTACCATGACTTCAGAGCAGAAAGAGACACTGTGGTAAAGGTTGCATATTCTCAGTGACAGTGAGAATCCCTCATTCTGAATGCAGAGATATGCATGGTTAGTGATAATTGAGGCTGTATAGAGGGCTATTTTAAGAAGTTCTCTGCCATTACAGAGTAATACTGATTAAGTCTCTGACTTTTCCACATTTCATGGTCCCTGCTTTCTAATTCTGTACTGTCCAACATTCACAATTTTACCTACATTTTAAGGAAAAATAAATGATCAGTGTTGGCAAAAGTTCTTTCTTCGTATAGCCAAATTGCAGATCTCCAACTACCAAATCATTAACCCATAGTTCTTCAAACCACCTATCAGAGTGTCTGAAAGACCTCCAAATCTAGACCTCCAAACTAGAGCACCCACAGACCTCCAAACCACCCAGTCAGAGCACTGACAGACCTCCAAGCCATCCAATCAGTCTAGTTGTGGTTGGTTCTTCTGTTCTGGTGTCTTCTTTCACATTGGTCAGTGATATGTGTCAGGACGTAGAAGACTAGCCAGAGGACAAATCTGGCCTATCGTGCTGTTTATAAAATTTTATTAGAACATGGCCATGCTGATTACATATTATAGTTAAGACAAGAGAATGGAGTAGTTGTGACAGAAACCACATGCTTTAAGTTGAAAATCATTATATCTGGACTTTACTCTTTGGCCATCCATCTGAGTGTTGTTTGCCTTTCTCCCATTCCCTGGAGATGAAGACATAGCCTGTTCATAACATCCATGCCAGGCACATGGTAGGTGCAGAATGTCTGCAGATTATGAACAATTTGCAGACTTCCTAAGAGAAAAATGTATTAACTTCTATGTGAAGCTCTCAACTCAGCCACACATCTGGAATCACTACTTCTGGGTATGTGTGTAATGAACTCATGTTGAGAAATTTGCAAATGGCTGGAGAATACTCCAGAGAGGATTTTTGGCACAAGGTACAGTTTTAATACAAATGCCATGGGCTCACTGAGGGGTTTAGAGGGGGCAGGGAAACCACATTTTTTATAGCTGTGTTACACTAAGTGAAACACATGCTAAATCACCAGGCAAATTGGGGCTGCAGAGTCTGAGCAACATCTGGAGAAAAAGAACTCAGGATAGGAAATTTCTGAAAATTTATTGATAGGAACATCACTTTATGATTTTCAGTAATTTATTTGACTCTTGCTAACTGATATTACCCAGAGATAAAAAGGGCCATATTGCTAGAAAGAATAAAAATATCACTTTCTTTATTCTTTTTTCCAGTTTCTGTGAGTAGTCTGCAACTCTTATTTTGTGTAAAAGTTTCACCAAAGTAATTCCTTATTAGCAAGTGAAATAACAACCTACTGTAAGCAGCCAGTGACACCATGGCAAGCAGACTGGTGCAGAAGCAGGCAATACCAGTAGGTTCTGTTTCAGCTATTGCTGAGGTGCAAAGATGGCCTTAGTGGATCCACATTAAAGAGCCCTCATATTGAGGGGGAAATCTGAACTTATGGGATTGTGACACAACTTTTAGTGTGTGTGTGTGTGTGTGTGTGTGTGTGTGTGTGTGTATGTGTGTGTTTGGGCATGGGGGTGTCAGAGGACAAGTTGGTTCCTTTGTTCCACCTGTAGGTTCTGAAGATCAAACTCAGCTTCTCAGCTGAAACTCAGACCATTATTCTTGGCAGCAAGAACCTTTACCTCAGCCATCTTGCTGGCCCCTAGAGATGGAACTTTTATCAGCAGGAGATCCCGGGTAAGTGGCCACAGTTCTGATACACACATTACCTAGCCAAATATGGTTGGCTAGCATTTCTCCGGTCCCCATGCTTCTGGTTCATTCTCTACAATGCAACCAGACTTATGGACAATGTCACCTGTTCATACTTTTTGCTGATTCTATGAAGTTCTCTAAAATGTCTGTATGCTTCAAGAGAAAGTCAGTGTTCATATGGCAGAGGAAGCTGTTTGTAAGCCCCCATGTGTGTCTGCTTGGCTCTTATCTCCCTTCCACACTAGTCTCTCATCACCCCTTCTTCTCCCTGGGCTCTGGGCTCAACGCTGCTCTTCAACAGGCTTGATAAGGTCAGATTATATCTTTGTTTTCCTCATTCCATCTTCTCTGATCCATGACCTTTCTAACCCTGACAGGAACTCTTTTCTACGTGTTGCCTGTCATCTGCTTTTTCCCTGAGCATATTTCTAGCCTTTATCTTTTTTCCTAATGGCCTTTCTTGATTCTTGATAAAAAACTCTTTTGGGACATTCACCAGAAATCTAATCTCAATAAATGAATCACCTAAAAGACTAATGACGACACATATTAAGTTTAACTCTGGGATGTTATGTTGCTGTCTCACCCAAGAAAACATTTGCTCCTGAAGTCAATATGCCAAATACCATTGTAAGCACTCTCCCAAGAACTTCAACTGTGGGTCTCTTCGATAAATATTAAAATGTTCTGCTATCATTTGATTAAATCATTTATTAATTTGCATTAAAACACATCTTATAATAAAATTAAAATATCTCTTGTTACAAAAGCCATTCATTTAAAAAAAGTCAGTTAGAACAATGTAAAGATATATTTCACCACATGGTTCTCTGTGTAGTAGAAAGAAAGCACAAGGGATTCTGAAAAATCACATGAAGCACAGAAAATGGACCACTGATGTGCTTAACTGTGAATGTTCAGGCAGCAAGAATTCAGAGACCGGGTCACTTCCTACTGTATCAGCTCAAAGGAGGGTTGCTCCTCCAGCCCTATACATATGTGGCAAGTTCATAGTGGTCCAAACAGGAGGAATGGATGCTGAGGGATCACAGGATATAAGCAGCAGATAAGTAGAGTGAGTTCAATCTGTGGAAAGTAGTTTAATATGAATCACAGAAAACAGGCAAGTAGGTAAAGATGTAAGGAGATACAGAAATGAAGAGAGCCTAGTGAGCCTTCCACAGAAGTCAGAAAAGCTCAGCGGTCAAGACAGCTCCAGGACACAGTGCAGATGCTCATGAAGGACAAGCTGCAGTCTGCAGCTTCCAGGAGGAGGAAGAATCAGGTGGCTGGTTCTGTGAAGATTTCTGCAGAATTAATTTCATCCTTGGACTCTAAGGTGAGACACACCTTCATAACCATATCTACTGCCCACTGTGTAGGAAGCTCATGACATTCTCTGTAGCTTCAAGTTCAGGCCAGAGAGAAAGCTGACCCAGAAAGGGCCTCATTCACTGAAGACCTTGGAGCACTATAGGCCTAGAAAAGGGCCAACTATTGAGTCTCACCCCCACACACTTTATTTGAGCTTTGCATGGTCTCTGGAGAAGAACAGGAAGAACAGTGGAACACCTTGCTTCTGACATTAGTAACTTCTATAAAAACGCCACTGGGTTCTTCATTGTGTATTTGTGTTTAGATAGAACAACATGAAAGACATCCAGATGGGAACACATCCCTGAAACTTGTCAGGGTGTACCTCTTCTATCACCTTCTCTGGGGGAAATGATGGCAGATTCTGCACATTTCTTAATGCCCCTGAAGGGATCTGAGCTGCTCCCAAAGAACCAACATGTCATCTCCATTACAAACTTCCTTGTACAATCCTGCTTCCTTAGAATTCACTCACCCGAAGGTTATCTCTGAAGTGGTTCCCTAAAATGGGAAAAGTCTTAAAGTTTTCATATTACATTCTTATTTCTCTAGTTCAATATGCATGCTGTTTAAAAAGACACACACACAAGCACACACACAAACACACACATGCGCTCATACATGTATAATATGCACACACCCATGTGCACATGGATATGGACAGCCAGGCACATATCATACACATGCACACATGCATGCACACACATGCACATGCACACATCCATATGTACATATAAATATGGACATCCAAGTATACAACCATGCATATGCAACACATGTACACATGCATGCACACACACAAGTATACATACAAAGGGTAAACAGAGAAAAATGTGATATATGAATGATGAGTTTAACTGTTCTCTCTAGAAATTAGTTTTCTCACAAATTAGTTTTGAGATACACCAACCATCTCATGAAAAGAATATTACAAAAGAGTCCTTTAAGAAATATGTTTTTCTGTAAATGAGATAAGGCTCTTTGAAGTTTACTGTTCTTTTTAGATCATATTCTTGTCTAGAAAAAATACAGAAAAAGAGTCAGTCCTTCTATGTGCACTAGCAATCTCAGGACCTCAAACTGGAACCTGTTCCTTCCCCAACACTGTATGAAACATTATAGTCATGCCAAGGCATGTGTGAGCTGGGCGAGCATGGTGGGGAGCATGATGGCTGCATCAGAGCTAGGAATGGTGCTGGACAGAAATGTGACAAAGCCACACATGTGTTAAACTACAGAAGTCAATTTGTGTATGAGAGTGGAGTAGAAACATTCCAAAATTAAATGGTGTGTAATTCTTATTGCAAGAATCTGTTATTTAAATGTTTGATAGTAAAAGCTAAAATGATACAGTATACTTAGACAAGCTCCAGGCTTATACTTCTAAATGATTTCAATAATAAGGTCTATAGCTAAAGGTCTATAGCATATGAGTGGGGAAGTTTTACTAATAAGACAAAATGCCATGCTATTGCCTTCCACCACCTACAGTAAATTTTAAAAAATTACAAATATGGAAAATTGAGAAGAAATAATGTTTTATATTTTACTGAAAAAATATGTGACCATCAACCCTGAGTGCACAACTCCCCTTGTTTGAGTGGAGGCCAAGGCTCTACAGTGAATGCAAAGGGGAGAGGTACAGTCTAAGCATCTAGGTATTTACCTTGAGGGTCTGCTTTGCTTTGGCTGTGGAGACATAGGCACAACTATGAAGACCCTACTGAAACAAGAAGACACAGGTTCATAAACCACTCTCCATCTCCACTTCAGATGGTGAACCAACAGCACCTAAAAATGCAAACTGATCCTTTGTGACAAGAGTAAAGAAAGCTTTTTGTTAGTTATGGTAAGAATGACTATCTCTCCTTAAATCTTGTAGTGGAGAATTTTTTAACACTGGGATCCACACTGGTTGAGAAGAGAGGCACACATCCTCTGGGAATTACACACTGTGTTGGGTCTTGGTGTTTCAAAATGCAAATATCAGGACGGTCCCTGTTCTGGAGTCCCGTGATCTGTTCCAAAACAAAAGGAAGCATGTGAGGGAAGAATTTTCCTGGTGGACAGACACCAAGTGTAGGTCTCAGTTCTGCACAGAACACCTCAGCCAGCAGGATGCCTAAAAACGTCTAGGAAAGATGTTAAGCAAAGGGTCCTGCCATCATGGTCTGAATTTCCTGACCTACCATGTCAGACTTGGTTTTTGAAAAGACCACACACCACAAATCTGTGTGCCATGTAAGCAGTGTTCTCTCACTACCATGCTCTTCTGTTGTAACCAAAAATGTATTGTGGGACAGTCCAAGGTCATAAGGACTACAAGGAGACATCTGTTCTATCTGAAGGGCAATTCGGTAGAGAGGTTAATGGGAGTGGGAGCTGCAGTTTGCAGCCTAGGCTTTCTGCGTAAGCACAGTGTGGGAGGAAAGCTGAGTCATCTCTGGGAAATAAGCATTTCCTTTTCAATGACTGGATATGAACGTGGCTGCAATTCTATTGGTTAGTTTTCTGTCAAGGTCATCTTCCATTTCATTCTTAAAGTATTTCATCTTTAATCTTCCCTCAGTGGAAATAGGCAGCTATATTACTCAGCATATTCAACAGAGTTAGGTGCCAGGCTCTGAAGAGCCTATTCATACCTTTGGTGCTAAGATAACCTTGAAATTCTGCCTCCTTTCTGGAATGCTATAGTTATTCTGTTGTTGTTAGACGATATTGAGAAAATCTATTCAAGATGAATGTGATCCCTGCATTTGAAACGAGACCCACCTTGCTGAAGATCCTTAATCAACTGTCATGTTAGTGTTCTCCAAACACTTGTGAGTGGAGCTTTATGACATGTGTGTAGTTGTCTGCAGAACCTCCCTCTACAGAGCTGAAGTCTGGCTTACACACACGGGCAGTGCTGCTTATCATTAGTCCTCTCAGGCCGTGAGACAGTGTACCACTAACAAAGCCATACCCAAAGAGCCCACATTCCCTATAATAATCTAGAACTTCAAAGCACCACGAGTAGCAGAAACAACTCCTGGGCTGGGTAACAGTTACGTCTGACATGTGTAGATGGAGATAAGTTAACATAGTGTTGTACTTGGTTATTACTGCTGTGGTCTGGGACTTTAGAGACTTTCTGCCCACTGCAAAGGTTTCAAAACAAATATGAAACCTGGGCTGCTCTTTATCTGATTTTCAGTGAAGTCCGAGAAAGACTCAATTGCCTCTGCCCTCCATGGTCTATGAGACTAAATTTTAGGGAAAATGTGCTGAATGACAACACTCAAAATGAAAGACAGAAAATGTTAACCAAGATGGCTGCTGGGAAAGAAAAGGAAAGAAACATTACAGGGGTTGGTTTAAAAAAAATCTAAAGAACCCTTTACATGACTGTATCTCAAATACAGTTTTATATTGAATTCATAGTTCACTAAATGTTGTTTCTATCAAAAACCATCCTGTAGGAACTCTGGGCTAGAAAAAGTATTTCTGTGGCATTGACAAAGGGGCTTAGCCAGTGATCAGTTTGGGATCACAAGTCACTGAGAGAAGCTAACTTTCAGCTGCTGGCACCAGCAAGAGAGCTGTATTCAGGATTCTTCAATGCAGTGGTCACTCTTTAATGTTTTCTGAGGGAAAAGGGGCAAATATTATTTGTAAATGTTTTGTTCAATTTTGAATTTCAGAAACTTTAGGAAACTGTTGATTTAGCGTACAGACAACTGACAGAGAATTGCAATTGTCAACTTCACTGTTTAGAATCACGCAGGAGATGTACCTCTAGGTGCATCTGTGAGGACACATCCAGAGGTTTAACTGAAAAGGGAAGGCCCACCCTGATTGTCTGCAACAGTGTTCCACTGTGTGGGAAACCATACTGAAGGACTGAGTACAATGGAGAAAGGAGACATTGATCTGCCCTCCAGCATTCCTCTTTGTGCATGCTCTCCACAGACACAGTGTACCATGTACCATGCTGCTTCACTCTCCACCGTGCCTTCTTCCCCATGCTGGACCGTACTCTTAAACTGTAGCCACAATACACTGTTCCTTCCATACGTTGCTTTGTCTGCTATTTTATCACAACAACAAGAAAAGGAACACATTGATACACAATTCAAAATTTTTATACCTTGTTCTTCCCACAGTCCATAGCAGTGGTTTTCAATGGTCTTGATCCCATTGTGAGTAAAAGGATCCATAACAGTAGAAAAAGTAAGTAGCAATGAGAATAATTTTATGGTTGGGGGTCACCACATCATTAAAGGGTCTCAGTGTTAGGAAGGTTGCGAACCACTGAAGAGTTACTCAAATCCTTGCCTCTAGACCATGGTGGCTGGAGACTACTTTGTAATAAGATGTGCAACCAAACTTTATATGATTACTACTGTGTATTAGTTACTGGCAAAGCTGGCAATACCGATTAGCATGATTAATGTTAAGAATGTTGGAATGGGACACTCCAGTGAGCTGCACTGCAAGGCTTGGTGATTTAAAGGAAGAGGCATGAACTTTGTTCAGCACATGATAGTACAGAATCACTCGGAAGCAGAAATGAAAAATTTCAAGTATTAGAGGAAAGTGCAAGGCAAGGACTAAAATGACCAAGACATACAGAATTTGACTGTTCTATCTGCAAAAGAAACAGCATCAAATGAACACACTGTTATTATTTACTGGAAATACACTCAGCCTGTCTGTGTACATTCACTGAAAGCTTCAAGATGGTCTAGTGTGACTGTATTGCTCCATGGGTCCTATGTGTTCTATATATGCAGCCTGAGCCTGTGGGAGGGCTATGTGGGTCTTATAAAGACAAATAATTCACTGTTTTCCCCTTTAGGCTACGCAAGTCTCATCAATAATTCAAGAATGCAGAACATTATATGTAATTGCTCCATTCCCTTCATTCCTCTCCCCTGCTCACAATTCACATTTAGACTAGGACAGGCAATGTAAATCAAAAACTATTCTTGTTGGGAAGACTACAAAAGGAAGAAAAAATATCATCTTGTAGTTTCACATCACCAAGTAGTTCATTTTGTTGTTTGTTTGTTTGTTTTTGTTGTTGTTGTTGTTTTGAGACAGGGTCTCTCTGTGCAACAGCCCTGGCTGTCCTGGAACTTGCTTTGTAGACCAGGCTAGCTTCAAACACACAGAGATCCACTTATCTCTGCCTCCAGGGATTAAAGGTGTGCCATCATGCCTGACTTAAGTATTTTCTTCTTAAGGAAAATGTCAAAGAGAAAATATGTCATGTAGATTTAAAATGCATGAAAATTTTGTAATATGATTTAAACTGAGTTTACTGCTGGATTACCTCAGCAAGGTCATTAAACCTCTGTTAGCTGCCAGTGGAATGCATAAATTAAGGATCATGTTTGTTTTTCTTAAAGAGTACTAAACGAGATCATGTGTGTAACCCAATGTCTTTGATAAGTTCCAATCAAAACAAGATTTTTATTATTGTAATAAAATATTGTCTGAACTACTGAAGGAGAAATGTTAAAACTACTGAAGGAAGATGTGTAAATCCTGCCACAGTGGGCAAACCACTGGCCTTTGGAGGGATGCTACACTGTGGGGAATGCTACACCATGGGGAGATCTACCCTATGGAGGGATGCTACATCCTTGGGTGATTTACTCTGTGGAGGGATGGTACACTGTGGGGGTATATTACACTGTTGGGGGATGCTACACTGTTGGGTGATGCTACAGTGTTGGGGGATGCAACACTGTGGGGGAATGTTACACTGTAGAGGGATGCTACACTGTGGGGGGCGATGCTACAACTACTGCAGGAAGATATGCTATAATTTCTTGGTTCACCTTTTAGGTGTGTGCTTCAGAGGCATAAGCTGCTGTACTAAAGGCTGTTTGTATTCAGTAATGTGTTTACACTAGTCCTTTACTCTAGTACATAAAGGTGTAAAAGGCAACATTTCCACTCTGTCTTAGAGATTCCCTCCATATGAACAGATTAAAAGCATTTAATCCTTATGAAGCCAGAATTAATTATAAATTAAAACAGAAAATTATAATAAACTGAGAATATTCCTATTTTTTCATATGCAGGATATATGTTTTCTTTGAGGACTTTCCAACCACAGTAAATATATTGAAAAGAAAATTATTTAAATTTGTGAAACATGTATAATTCACTCCTTTGTGTGCTTTGTTTTCATTACTCTTTTGGGTTCTTTAGAGTCTTTAAAGATGACTGGCTATAACATTCTGTGTTCTAACAGAGCACATAGGTAAACGAAAATAATGCTAGATCTATAATAAGGATTAGTTGTTAACAGGGGGAAAGGGGTTGAGTGGAGATACTCAAAACAGTAAATGGTAAACCTTGCTATAACAGATGTGAGAACTGCAGCTCTGAATTAGATTCCCAGGTTAGACAGGGTCTTCCACACTTAGTAGTTGTGTGATATTCGCAAGTAATTGGCCCTATAGTAAGTAACTTCTATATTTTAAAAATTAGGATAACAGTGGGATATGAACCAAGAAAAGCACTTACCCAATTAACTAATATACAGAAAATGGTCACTGGATGTTGTGTGTGTGTGTGTGTGTGTGTGTGTGTGTGTGTGTGTGTGTGTGTGTGTGACAAAGAGAGGCAGAGAGAAAGAGAGGAAACATTTTTCACACAAAATTCTTGAAAATCGATTAAAATGTCAAATTACTGGACTAGATCATCAACTAATGTACTTTCAAT